TGCCTGTACAATGTACAGCCAAAAGTTGACCAATCACCTTGCTCGCCCACCTTGCATCTCAGGTCCTCTCTAAACCTTTCCCATTACAGTATGAGCTCATGTTTTTGGAGCCTCTTTTCGAGGTTGTTGAAACTGAATCTGTAATAGTAGAAGGCTCGTGAAGAGATGAATCTACCTCAGAATCCATATTTTATCCTTTAAAAGAATAAATGTGTACGAAGAAAAGAAAAGGAAAGATTTTTGAAGAGCGGTGTGTACGGTGTATGAGGAATGCCAAGAAGTATCATGATACTACTAATACTAGTAATACACGCTAATACTAGTATCGTAATGATACCTTTCAATACCCGAGGTATCAAAAACCACGCTGTACGTATTTTTATTCCTTTTCCCTTTATTCTTTATATTTTCAATTCTATTCTGTCTAATGTAACTGCGGAGTACGATTATCCGTAGGGATCTGCAGTAGTAAGCCGCACTATTCACATCCGTAGACTATTTTCAACCTCATCGATTTTCTAGACACTTGAACGAAGAAAAAGTACTCACTATCGCGATTCATATGATCACTGTGGGATGTATCTACTCACTTATTCTTTGTTCTGGCTTCATCCTCTTGTTTTCAGTGGTTTCCCTTTTGACACACCCACATGCCTTTCCCGTCTTTACCCTTTCCATTCTGCAGTCCAACTATTTTTGGGCACTACTAGTTCTCGAGGCACAGGATCTTTACTCCTCACTTTTACATTGAATCAGCCCGTAGCTTTGTGTTTGTCGACCTTGTTTCTCATTGCCTCTCGTCTATGTACTATACCCTTACGATTGTTACCTTCTGACACCAAAATCGCACTGTTAAACTCGTTCGATGGTCCTCCTACATATCATCATGGCCCTGTCCAAAATCAACATTCTGATGGTGGTGCCGCTGATCTCGTGGGTTGCCGCTGTTCCGGCAGCCTACGACGTCGTCTGGGCTGATTGGATGACCGGGGCCATGCCGTCCAATACCGCTGCCTGTGCGGCTCCTTTCGCGACGCTCGTCACGTCCTCTACCAGCCTGTCTTATTCGCCAGTTGCTGCCGCAGTCACTTACCAAACACTGGCACTTTCCTCTGATTCGCTGTCCCTTGCTCCGTCGGCAACTGCGTCATCTGCTTTCTCCACTTCCGCCAGCACGGTGCAGTCGGTAGCCTCCGTCGCCGCGGCGATCAGTGTTCAGCCCCAAAATGGCTCAACCACGGGTTCTTGCGAGGGAGCCAGTGACTCCTGCGTGGGCGACGTGACTCATTGGGATGGTGGTTTGTTTTCATCCGTATCTCCTGCCGGAACATGGGCTGACTCCGGGACCTAGGAGTGGGCGCCTGCGGCTGGGCCGTGGACACCAATAGCGACTATGAAATTGCACTCCCTTATGCCTTCATGGGGTCCCAATCGAATGGAAATCCGTACTGTGGTCGGTCAGTCACTTTACACAATCCAACCTCTGGCACCACGGTCCAGGCCACCGTGGGTGACAAGTGTGAAGGCTGTACCGATCGGTCCATCGACTGCACTGATATCCTGTTCAACGCCATCACTGATGGTGAAGGCGATGGCCGTATGCACGGTATTCAATGGTGGTTGAACTGAAGTCTGCAACGTCTCGACCAACGTAGCTCTGCTTCACCGGTGGTTTGAGCCCACCTGAAAATCGAACTTCCGCTGGGCGAATACGTAGATACTGTCGCACCATAGAAAGGCCCGAAGCCTCTCACACACTGTCGTAGGTAGAGATCGCGCTCCCGGTGGACTTTACTGGATATATGTGGATAGAGCGAAGCGACATGCCCTGTACGGCAACGGCGCCCCATGATCTCCCTATTCTACATTATTTCCTCAGAACTCTGACTGGCTTCTAAGGGTCCGTATTGGTCACATGAGTTGGATCGCGGTGAGAATATTGGTAATTTGGATCGTTCAAGATCGCGGAAGTATAACCCACATCCCGATGTGATGAAACGCCCTGTGTTACTTAAAAAAAAATACCCCGCACCTGGAATGGAACTGAGGTCTCGTCGATCAGATATAGACCCTGGCGCTCCGTGGCCTCTTGAATATCATTTAGCCGATTGTTACAGTATACATAAATACATGAATTTGACTTAGAAACCATGACTCATCGACCGCTTCAAAAACGACGAAATTACATATCGATTACATTGCCTTGCCTCAGATTCCTGCGTTTCTGACACTCTACATATGTATAGAGTCACCATCACTAGATTGTATCTCGTTCCACCGATTGATATACACATTGTCTCTAGTCGTTCGTGGCCTGCCACCATTTCGTGCGCCACAGGACGAGGAACCCCTTCCCTTACCATCACGTGAACTAAGCTAGGCTCTGACATGGGTCGAGTCGGGGCGGGTCAGAGGGGGCCGGGTATTTCAGGAGATGTTTGACCATATCAACATAGCCAACTGTACGCATTCGAGGCATCACAAACTTAGCTGCGCCATTGGGAACCAGACTTGGGAATGCCCATGAAAGCATGGCCTGGCTCTTGTTGAATTCAGATAGAGGAGTCTGGCGAAGCGATGGCATTGTCAAATGGTGTTGTTCTGGACGGATCTGATTGCGTAGCCCCTCAAGCTCTGCCTCAGTGGCAGCGAGGTCAGGGATAACGGATATGTCTGCGCCCTCGTCTTCATCTGCAACATCTTGTTCATCTTGACTAGCTCTTGGACCATCACGCGGTCCGCAACAGAGGCATCCTCAGGAAGTGCATCAAGGTTAACGTTGCTGATCTCGATGTCTCTGTATCCGGAATGATTTCGACGGAGGTAATCGAGCCATCTCGCGATGATAGATCGGCGGACTCGGAAGTCTTTCGTGAACTGTTTTGCGAGGAACCTGCTATTTGCCGTGTTACCTGGGCGCAACAGGACTATCTCAAGATGCTCCGGAAGTAAGGGAAGAGTGTTGTAAGCCTTGCCAGTGTCTCTCAGGAAGTTGACGATGTGGCCTTTGTATCGATATTGGACTCCACGGACCTGACGGATTTCAATGAAGACATGGACACGAGCAATCAGCATCTCTGCAATCTGCGTGAGTGGAGGAAGACCATGACCAATAACGCCAGGATCCGTGTTGTTCTCATGGCTATAGAGGAATGGATCTGTGTCCTTCTCACGCCTCTTAGGTTGAATGCGATCAACTCGAATGCAACGAGCACAGACACCTTCGAGATTCAACGAATCAACTTCATGTCAAACCACTTCACACGGCAGCGACGACATTCCTCCAACTTGTCTGACTCTAGTGCTTGATGGAAATCTTGAATGTATTGCCACTCTGCGTCTGTGAGAGCAGGATTATCAGCATCACAAGGATCCAATGGTGGGTCAGGAACCTGGAGGTTCTCAATCTGGGTATTTACCACACGCTGTGAAGGACTCGCTCGACCAGTAGAACTGGAAGGAGAGTGATCACGACTATCGCCACTTCCACCAAGGCCAACTGAGAGACGTGAAGTGCTGAAGGAGAGCCCTTGATTGTGACAGGCGTTGCATGGTTGAGATTCCTCCCCATCATCCCGAAAGAAGGAACGTCGATCCACCTCATGTCTGCCAGGAATACACCACACTAATTGATTGTCAATCACAGTCCCATATCGACAGTAGGTGCAATAGTTGCCATCAATGTTTCGCATGCGACGTGCCAAGGCACGCGGTATCTCACAGGCATCGCAGATGAAGTATTGAGCTGCAGGTCGTGGCGATTCGTCAAAGGAGGACCGGGAACGTCATGAAGACGTGATCGGGAAACGTTGATCGACGGGACTATGAGGGCCTGCCTGCGGACCGAGTAACCGAGACAATTCGGGTGTCTGAGACGTTTTCCTCGCCACCACGACGACGGCCGCGATGCTCCCTTGAAAATGCTCCCTGCTGTTTCCTAGCCTCTGCCTGGGCAGGAGCGTCTGTGGGGTGTAAACCACCACGGCGGAAGAACTCAGGCTCACGAGTCCCACCACTTGCAATGGCAGCCCGAGCAACACTTGCAACAGTTGGCTGTGCAAAGCTAGGCGGTCGTGCCTGTGTTGGTGGTGCTGGTCGGAGTGCACGGATTGGACTGGATCATGGCACCTGTATAGCAGACGCCTCCCGGACATGTGTGACCCAACTCTTTCACGGCAGTCAATACATTGAGCTGTCTCCTTGTTGCCTCGCTTGGGCTTAAAGTCTTCCTTAGGCTTGAGTTGGCCACAGCCGGAGGACGTTTTGTGGGTATTCGATTGAGGATCAGGTCGATCAGGAGGTAGAGGAGGTATTCCTGGAGGCTTGAATGGAGCAGGTGGCGCGCCACTTGCGAGCATTTTGGTCAAGGAGATGTACTTGTAAGCGAACCAATAAATGAAGCAGTGGGCACTTAAACGAGAGCCATTCAAGGAGACAGAACTGGATCTCAATGGTGAAACAATCGGCGATTGCGCGTGTGGTGTTGTTGTTGTTGTTGTTGTTGTGGTGGTGGTGGCGGTGGCGGTGGTGCGGCAACTGCCAATATGGAAAGCGCGAAATTTGAGTCTACTACTTGATTGGTCAGATCCTTGACCGCACGTGACTATATCAGGAGTCGGCCGATCGGATGAGCTAATTTTACCCGGCCAATCAGATCCGCGGCTTGTTGGAAATTTTTGCCCCGTATACCTGTTGAGCTTCGCTCAACAGGTATACGGGGCAAGAAAGCACGTGATATTTCTTCCCCGACTGCTGCCTACTTTTTCTTGGCGCGGGTTTTAGTTATAAGTTTGGCGCACTTCCCAGCCCTTCCCGCAACCACGTCATTTTAACTCGCAAACCAGCATCGACTCGGTATACAAAGACGCACAACCCGAAAACTACACACGCACGTCTAGCGCGGCTAGTTTCGATCCCTCTCGAACAGACAGGTGTTAGAGCGTGTAAACTGTGCCACTAAACCTCTGGCCACAGATGTCTACCTCCCAGCTACTCGTCGTCGCTGTTCGCGCTACGTCTCCGGTATGTCTCTATAATACCTAACTACCTTTTCAACTTATGAGTTAAACCTTCTGTTAGCCCGAGCAATTTAAGGAATTCGTCGAGTATGTTGTCGAGAAGCGCGGGGCCGAAGCCATCAAAGCATGTTCCTGCGACGGTATGAGCTTCAACGGCAAATACGAAGTCTGCTATGTCGGCAATGAGAGAGAGCTGTTCTCGGAGCCCGGCCGGCAGCTCCAAGTGGAGCTTGGTTCCAATCTAGCCGTCTTATATATTGGGGAGGCGCGTGCTTACCCAAGAGAGATGCACAATCACATCGCGACGTACTTTCAGGCCATGAAAGGAAGTCTTGGGGATGGGTATAAGATGGAGGGCGACTTGAGGCGGTGGATTTGATTTGGCCCAGAGGAAGGGCAAATAGTTCTTAGCTTGACTTTTCAAGTTGGAAATCTACCATTATTAAATGGGAAGGTATGAAGGGTCTGAGATGATGGAAACAGTGTGGACAGAGTGCGTAGCGCGCGAGGGATGACAACCATACGGCCGCGACTCATGTAGTCTGACGTGGAGACTCCTGGCCTGAAAGCGGTCTCCAATCTCTCTGATGTCAACTGTCGTACATCTGCAGATATCGTTTACCAGACCAACTGAAGGACGCTGTTGGATTCTGGCAGTTCTCGCAACTCTGGCCTCAAACTAATGGACTTGGCTCTGATTCCTCTCATCACTGAGGAGGAATCGGCAGGCTATTTATGTCTGCCATGTACGCTGTGGTTGCGATCCAAACTGGCAGATATCGGTAAAGATCGTGTTGCAGACGCCAGAGGCGCAGGATCCGTAGTAAAATGAGTGTTTTGTACTGAGACAGGCCAGCAATCTGGCAAGTAATGTAAGGCATGGGATAGACTTCTGGTGGCGGCGGCGAGGTCCGCGTGATGCGGCCTGACACGGGGTGTCGAGTGCTATTGTGGCCGGCAGGACCGCCAAGAGATGTAATGACTGTCCGCGCTGGTCTTCGGCCGAAGGCCTGTTACTAGCGTCGAGAACCCTTTGTTAATTACTCGAAGGTATAGTCAGACGGGCCCCAGGACCCTGTAGAATTCAGCATGTTTCTCCATTGAGTCACACTATCAAGCGAAATCACCACTTGATCTTCACTGGAGAGGACTCGGAACACCCTTACATGAATTCTACGTCAACGACTCGCGGCCAGCGTCTCGTCGAAATGACACCCTCCTCCGGTTTTCCCTGTGATCGATCTACGTCATCTTTGCGAGGGCACATCAGGGTACTCTAGGACATAGTTTATGGACAACGTTCAATAAAAGAAGAGGGCAGGTTGGTTGTGTTGCACAGATAGGCCATTGCGTGGCGGCACCCTGCATGCGCCCCTGCGACAAGAGTTGCGTCCATGAGCTTCTTTCAGCGTCCTCGATTGTTTATGACAAAACTAAGAATTACGGGTAGTGCTGATGAGGCGCCGGTAAGCGAATGTCATGGCGGATCTGTCAAAGTACCTTCCCGCTTCTGACGGGCCCCTGCAAAATCTACACGAACCACATTGTAATTGGTTGAAAGGCCGTCCCTTGCCGGGCGACGTGTATAGCATTTAATGTCTTGCGTCAGGAGGCTGATTAAGAGTCTGTGGCGACCATCTACTGAGTGTTGGTGAATTGAAGTATATACGCCGACTCAGGCCATTGGGTGTGGGTGCGGAGCGGTAATTTTGGTATGGGATTATCGGGTTCAACGAAGTAATCGCCATAGTATCTCAGTCATTATGTTGAATGACATACGGGACGTTGGTTGAAAATTCTCGGTGAGAAATGAAGAGGTGCTAGGCCTCCGGTCGCATCACGTAGGGCGTTTCACAACATCGGGATGTGGGTTAACAAAACTACTTCATATATGCGGTTTTAGGAGTCGGGACGACGTGATCTACCAAGCCAATCAATGACGATGAATCTTCATACGCGCCGGTAACCTCGTTGAGCTAAGTATGTAAAGGGGGAAGGAAAGATAAAAGATCTAGCGACAGAGCAAAAAGGGCTCCAAAACTCCTCTTCGGACATTCTGCGGTGGTATCACAAGTAAATCGTGACTTAGTTAGGTAGCCTTGCTAAGAGGTTTCCCAATCTCACAACTTATCACTATAATACCGTGGCCGTCTGTGTCTACAGAACAACAACCCCGCGCCTGCGGGCTTTTGCTTCGTTATATGTATTCCTGCTGAGCGACCGCATTTGGGGTCCTCATCATCCCATTGTCAAGGTTGGTTATGTTGAGGTGAGTGGTAGGTGGTTAGCGTTACTGTAGCGATCATGACACGTCTTCCTTACCGACCGGCGTGATAAGCGGTAACAATTGTGATGTCGGCATAATGAGGATATCGCTCATGCACTCTCGGATGTACACGAAGCTGTTCCACGGATTGTCCCATGTGTCAATGACATATGGAGGGAGATCCAAAGAGGTCCACCCAACCACTTCCCGTAGCCGGGCCTGTAATGCGAGTGTTGTTTTGCCGAATCTGTTGGGGTCTGACCCGTCCATTCTATATTTAGTTGCGAGCAGATCAAGAAGCATCTGTTTCTCCTCTCTCGTGGGCTTATAGACCATGCCGCCAGCTTTCGCGGCCTTTTGTGGCGCGTCATTCGGAGCGTCGACACCTGGAGCCACCACGACCGTCACGAGATCGTACTCGGGCGAGAGAGGGGTGATTGCCTTCTGAACCCGATAGTCTTGGTCTGGCGTCGTAGCGCCGCTCGAATCGGCGCCGAAAACATCCCCGC